TGTCACACAGGAAGTTCGCGAGAAATCTCAGAACAAACCCCCGTGGTACCGTTCTACCCACACAGCTACTACAGACACTACCGCGAGTGGATCCCACCAGGAAGACACCATATCTCAGCCGGGACGGTCACCGGCGGCCATCGCGCGGCGCCATCCAGCGACGAGGGCTTTGTGTCGAGCTCGACGCTCGTTCCGGAGCGGCCGTCGACGACTGGGAGCGGTGCGGACACCGGTCCCTGGGGGACCCCACAGCGGCGGCCGGGCGGTGCCGAGAGCCGTCGGCCGTCGGCCGGCGCGATGGAGACGACTCCCGAGGCCGTCCCAGCGCGCTCACACGGGTGTAATCATCGCCGAGTGCGTCTCCGGGGCAGACGGAGCCGGCTCTGTCTCCAAGCTACCTCTGGGTGTGTTTCTGAGTCGACCTTATAAAGTTTGAACTCAGGCTGGATTTGATACCATTGCCACCACTGCCTTGGCTGTGACATAGAATATGCAGCTACACATGTGCGCCTAACTGCACCTGCTGGTTTACTCACAGACTGTGCGGTCATGAGCCTCCAAACTACAAAAGCGTTTAACAACTCCATCACCAAAATCACAGCAAATATCCTCGGAACTTCGTCAGTGCCCAGTCCTCAAATTCTGAGCAGTTTCAGTGATGTTCCGAAACGAGAGGCTAATTCCGTTTCACTGCAGGGCCTCTTTGATGTTATGGGCGGCAACATCTAGCCTACAGCGGCGGGGCGGCGACGCTGTGCTATATTGCTCGCCGGCCATCTGAGACGCAATTGCAGCGGGCCAGCCTGGCGGTGGCCGGCCCACATTGTCCCCGTATTGACGAGACGGCATGACGGTCGAGATAGCCGTCCAGACGACCGCAGCCAGCCGCCGCACAGTGGAGGGTGCGAGTAGTAAATCGTTCGATATTGGCTGAGAAAGCTCCGGCTGGGAGAAGGCTCTGGGCAACACCATAGTGGGGCCCACACCGCATCTTCTGGTGATAGCCAGATTGAGCCAGGAACATTGATAACAAGATCTGAGCGCCACACAGCTTTGGTTGATCATCCATGTGATAAGTACCCGCGTCCCGTTGATCTGACGAGTGTGATCTCCAGCATAAAGTACTTTATTTGTATTCTGACGGAGAGTGGTGCAAGATGTCACTCGACGAGCCGCAATGTACGCTACAAATGGCGATCCCTGAGGCTTCGTCGTCATTAATTCAATGCATGAATGAGTGACACCGATTGAGAGCTGCGGCCGTAGCAAACTCTGGCCGCGTGATTAGTCATGCGCTGCTCGTCAGCAACGGCCTGTACACTGTACAGGGTGGGGCAGCATAATCGGGAATGCTTTTTGGGCTCTGATCATGAGTAGGCATGGCATTATTTTTATAAATTATATTATGGCAATGAAACGCCCAAAAGTTGTGCATCATCTGACATGACTACATCCATGAGCATGCAACTTCCTGGAAAAGAGCAGCAAAATAGTTCGACGGTGCTCCAAGTGCTTTGCGCGCGCCCATAGACACTAATGTTAAACAAGTAAAACAAGAACATTTTGTTTAAAACCCTGCAATTCCACGTAAAGGTTGCTGGGCAGGTCAACGTGTTATCACGGACGATAAGGATTGTGTGGGGATACTTAGGACAACAGGTTAACGTAATCGTCGTAAAATAACTCATAGCAGAGGACATACAAGATGACTCACTTGAATATAAGGAAGAAGCACTTGAGCATATTAAAAAGAAACAATGTTCAAAACTTCAGCGACAAAAAATCTTATCACCGACTGGAATACGATAAAAAAGAATGGCATGCCATATAGGGGATTGTATCGAGAATATTCCAGCGGTCATGCAAAGTAAACATCCTGTTGGGGTGATGGACCTATGGGTGGTCTTCAAGGGAGGTGCACGTGGTGCACCCTACTTCATCGAGCCCGGATAAAATGAGCACCTCTGGTAAATACAACCGCACTCTGGCAGACTCACGTGGAGCCGTCGGAAGAGAGGATCACTGACGGTCCAAATCACGTCTTACGAGGACTCTGTCCGTGCTGGTACTGCAGTGAGGACGACATGTTATTGTGTAGGGCACCTCCACCTGAGATGAACCAAAAACTTCTGGTCCTTCAACTCCGCCGATTTAAATCCGACCAAATTATTTACATGGAGCGTTTTTTGGTAGAAGTTTAATGAACAACTTATCATTAGTAAAAACAGTCTTCAGTGCAAGGTACGAAGCTGATGGGCGATCATGGACAAGCAGGAGGTTGCACGTGCATGCGCGTGCTTTTGGACCCGCCTTGAGAAGGTCATCGACGCCGAGGGCGGTCAAATAGGATGAGGGATAGGTAAAAGGTGACCGATTGATAGGATGTTGCTAAAATAGTGCTTGGAGCTATATTTTTAGATTCATGACCAAATAATCCCGTTTGATATTTATTCCCGATTATGCTGCCCCACCCTGTATTTAGCAGTGGCCGAACTGATACCACAGAATGACCTAGACACGGTTGCATCAGCCACTTGGGCGGAAGTTGGGTCCATCGAATTTAATTTATACAGGTGAATATGGAACCAATGTTAGACAGAAGTGTGAACGGTTGCCAGTGGGCTTATTTGTTCCCGACCTTGTATGACAGACAGAATAAATTCTGTCATTTGTCTTGCTGCTAACACGGGCGTAACATTCGAAAAGCATCATGCACATGGCGCTTTGTATGTGCATATAATGTTTCACTACCACCTGTTATTTCCTTCTAAGCTTGCACGACAGAGCAGACAATTTTCGCCATTTGTTTCACTTGCAACATGGATTGTCGTGTGCATATCTGGTTATGTATATGACAATATGTGCGGCACATTTCAATTTTATTTTGTATGCAAACATCTGTTGCAAACCCCCTGGATACAGCCACGCAAATCCTATATGAAAAATGTCCTTCATTTGCCGCGCATTCCTCACCGTCACGTGAAATGCTACAGAGAAACTCGGCTCCCATGGGCTGGGTCACGTATAAATGTGCATGCCAATCCTATCTGATGGTGAAATATTGGCGCACTTTTCAGTCACAATGATTCTCCAGCAAACACACCATCGTGAGCATCCCTGACAGCAGCGAAGGTAAGTGGCATTTTCTCGATTATTAAAGTTGTTACGGGATTCAGTTGGGAACTAGTTAGTAGTAAGTTAAAGTAGTTAGTTAAAGGGACTATCCCACCTTTAACATGGGGTTTGAGTTGAGATAGCCAAGTTTGCGGCGAGGTTCAGAAACCACTATCTATCTAGGTTGCAACCCCCGCGGCCTCTTGGTGTTGAAGAAATTCGTTCCCTTCATTTGAAAATGGGCCTTGTACAAGGCCCTATCTTCAACATGGAGCGACCGTTAGTGTGACGTCACCTCGTTTAGTCATTCTGATTTAAATGGGTTTGTTCGTTGAAAAATCGCTTAAAACTTGGTCTGAACTTTGTTGTGGTGCCTCCAGAGTAAAAAGAATCAGCTTTATGACAGTAATGTGGCCTGGGGAAGGAGGTAATTTTGGGCTGTGACGTCACACATTTGAAAGTTTGTGTTTGGAATATGGGAAGCCTAAGATGTTTAATGAAAAATAAATGCCAGAACCGTGTTCCTGGTCATCCAATCTATAAAGTCGGGCACAATTTAACTGGTTTTAACAACATTTTAGAAGGTGGGATAGTCCCTTTAAAAATTCCTTTTCACTACCTGCTGCCTGCTACCCCTCCGATCTAAATGTCTTAAGTTCAAGCTAAGCATGGACTTCTCAAACACACTGAAGATTGTACACCTAAAAGTTTTTTTTTTATAATATGTTTAGCGAGCATCCTGGTAAACAGAAAAATAATTCCACTAAAACGTTGTAATTGATAGCTTATAAAACTTGCAGTTTACTTTTCAAGCAAATGATTTCAAGAGAACTTCTTTGGTGAACAATGAACACCTAATGCATCGCTAAAAGAGCGATAAATCAGGCAGGCGCAGTGGCGCGGAACTACTTTCAGACTGGGGGGGGGGGGGGCACACTATAATAGAGATCAACCCAGGATATATATACCCCTAAATCTAGTTTTCTCACTGGTTTTAAGCCACTTATCTTTCATCCCTTAGCCTTTTCAATAACAAAAGAAAACATTTGCAAAAAAGTGCGGTGTTCCGTCTCAAAGCTGTGGGGCACCGCTCCCACGGCCCCAGAGTTGGGGAGCAAGCTGCCCCCACTGCCCCCCCCCCCTTCCCGCGCCTGTGGACAGGCGGAAGGTAAAAGATAAACAAAAAGTCATAATGAACTAGTCATCAACTTATACAATAATTGTTTGACACCCGGTTAGGGACTTTCGTTGACACGTATGCCCCAATGATGTCCTCGTGTTCCCAAACTTGGTGGTGCGCCGGGCGTGAAGCCAGCGATCATTGGTTATGCGACGAAGCAGCGCTCTCAGCGCCGCCTGACGTAAACTGTGAGTACTAAAGCTTCTATTACCCTCCAGTAGGTAGCCAGAATCACCACGAACCAAGGGAGCACCACTGAATGCCAGAAGAGGCACGCGTTTGTTGATGCCAGTCACTCATTTCCGGTTCCGGCGCGGTCGTCTTTAGACGATGCCGACTAGTCTCTAATGATCGCCAGATCACCGCACAGCTCTCTGAGTTGGTTATATAACAAAAATGCGAAAATATCAGCCATCTGGCATCTGAGGAACTCGAACTTCCAGTCGCAAACACCAAAACTCAGCTGAGAGTCGACGCTTTCAAGATGCCGATCGTGGTACTAAAAAAAGCTTCCGTTATCCCACAGCTGGCTACATCTCTGAAGTTATCCATGGTAATGTCGTGACACTCCATTTTACACATTCATCGAAATGTTTTCCCGCTCCCAGTAGCAGCCAGCAGGACACTGGAGGGCGCAGACCCCCCCCCCCCCCTCTCAGAACAGACCCTCCAACTTCCCAGACTAGCCTGGCTACTCGGTACTCACTGAGCGCTGCCTCCAGGCGTTTCCCGTCGCACCGGCAGCAGAGGAAAGGGGGACGCCACTCGGGTCGGATGGAGACCCTTCAGGCGCTCCTTGCGACGACTCATGGTCGAGGCGGCGGCGGCTGGAACGAGAGGGAGAAGGGTCAGAGGTCAGCACGTGCAGTGTGATATCAATCACGACTGAGCCTTCAATGGGGGGCAGGGGGGGGGCAGTCAGCGGTGACATGATTAATATTACATGTGCCGAGATGGGTACCGACGGAATATAGGGACATCAGCTGACATAGCCTGGTTGACATCCTATCAGGCAAAACATGAGTGAATCATGCACACAGCTGACTGGGTCGTGGGCGGTATAGATACGGCGTGATACGGTGATAGCAGGAGCACTACATACAGTGAACACACGTCACATTCGACGGTCGTGTACCACACTTGGGCATTAATGTTGCCAGAATGAATCGAGTTTGCCAGCATGAATCATCTCTTGTATCGACGAGACGAGGCATTCTCAAGAGCACTTTCCTTAACTCCTTACCTGCTGAAGTTAGCCAATTTGTATTCCGGAAGTGCTGCGCCCATTTCGAACGCTCGAGTGATTTCCAAAGCACGACGCTGTCACGAGGTCACGAGCGTCGCTCAATCACTTCATTACAGCGCTAATTTAATTAATAAAACGGTGATGTGACTGATGGTTATGCCAGCGCAACAGAACTGCCACGTTATTGAGCGACACACGTCACACCCCGCCACTTTAGTGGACTGGGAACGGGCGGGTGGCACGTGGCACGTGCAAAACAAATGATCCGCTGCGTCAGCTGATTCTTCTGCTTTCCGCTCATTAGATCTGCAGAATTACACGCCCGGCTGGCCCGACTAGAGCTGAAGGTTTCTCTACGCACGGGTACGCTGGACGGGGTGCTGAACGAGAGAAGAGAGCACGACCAGACGCGTCTGGCACGCCCGCCCGGCTGCGACGGAATGTGGAACCGGGAGACGCGGCCGCTAATTTACGAGGGGACATGTGATACTGCTGACAGATATGACGGGGTCTGGTGCAGGAGCGGCAGTAAAAAGGAGATGGTCGGTCCAGAACACCCTCCCCTCCCTCTCTTCCGTACGGCGAGGATGGGTATAGGCGCTTAGACGAGGCTTGAAGACAGACGGAAGAGATGTAAGGGGCCAGGGTTGGAACAGCAATTGAACCGTGAGGAAAGTAAAATTACCCATCGGATCAAACAGCTTCACTGCGTCGTTTTCAAAATTTATTATCACAGCCAACAGGTGTTCAATTAAAATATAGCATGTTGAGGCCAGATCTCGATATTATGTAAAGGTAACGCAGGGAAAGGTAGCAGCATATTGTTCTACAATTCAATACAGCATATCTAACCTTCACCACAAAGAGGTTCATACAAATGTATACCAAGAGGACGCTTGTCTAGATCAATTTAGATACCTGACTGCCTCATTCCTCATGTTGCTTCAGCCTTGAGCAAGCAGTAAACAGCCGCGCTAGCGTTTCACAGACGTAACGTTGTGACGTTTGCTGACCACTTTTTAAGCGTCAGATCTGACTGTGTTGTAAATCACTGCACAAAAACTGTGCGCTGACAACAGAGTCGGTCTCATACCACCTGCAGGTCGGACCTCAGTGGTCCCTCATAGCTCACGGTCTCACCCAATGTCTAAAACCCACCTCCAATACTTATTTAGCACGCCTCCACGTAACTTCATGTATATCAATCAATCTAACAAGGAAGAATAGTTGGAGCGGTTTAAAGTGCCTAACAAATACTGGGCCTATCTTGACTTCCTTCAGCAAATGGATAACAGCGTGCAGAGCCCCTACTCGGCGCAGCCGACGGACGGGGCATGCATATCATGTAAGCACAAGGTCCCTAACCTATACTATACGTCACCGTTACAGGACGAATAAAAAAGCACAGGGGATGGGAAGGGTGTGACTCCATGTGACGCGGACGGCGGGGGAAGGGGGGTCGAACCTGCGGGACATCCCGTAGCCAGTCCGTATCGGTTCAGCCGCTCTACCTCAATCGATAACATTATCGGCTTCGTCAAGCCTCGATCGCTTCAACAGTGCACTGCAGAGGGCATGTCCGTATTACGTATGCTAGATATGATAACGATACGGCGCATTCTAACACACACACAAAGCGCTGAGTTGATCTGTCATACAGACACGGCGACGCCTGTGAGCTGTGAATCGTCAAACGATCTCATCGAGACGCACATATATTGCCGTACATGGTGTAGAAGATATCTGAAATCAATATGTCAGTACCGTGATGTGTTGTGTCTCGCAATACGGCCGGCAACTACAGCGGACTTGTTCTTGGCTGGTTACTCGACCGCCACTAGCAACGGCGGCAAATGGTGAGTACTGAGTACCGGTATTTGCTCATCGATTGGCTAGAGTAGGCATGCTTAAAGGTGAGGAAGAATCATCGGCCGACGGTATACTTTTGTCGCATGCATGTTAAATGCCTAACGTTTATGATGCAGTAAAGATAAAGTGAGGGACTCTGTCACTCAACTGCATGGCGCTGTAACAGATCCGATTCGGTCCGCCAAGGATCTGAGACTTCTGATACGAATGCCCATGTAGTGATTTGGCCGTCGAGTACCTGAAAACTGTATCACTGAACACCTTACACTCACACAGGCCTGCGAGGCGGGTTCGGAAGATGAAGAGCAGCTGAATCTAGCCATCGCCCAGTCCCTCTCAGAGGAAGAGCAACTGACCCTAGCTATCGCACTGTCCGCCTCTGAGGAGGAAGCGCAGCTGAATGAAGCTGTCGCCGCCTCCCTAACGGAGGAGGAAGAGCAATCCAATGAAGCCGTCGCTACGTTCCAACCGGAGGAGCAGCCCACGTCAAGAACAGAGGTAGGGAAAGGTGGGGTAGGACGGACCAACTAAGGTTTGAAGTATATCTTGCTACACTGCTCTCGAACCTCATATTATTTTTAGTCTTCTGAGTGTATATTCCTTTCTCTTTTGACATGTGCCAAGGCTGGATTTTAACTTAACCCTCGCATGTGTAGGGGGGGGGGGGGGTCGGATGGACCCCCCATGGTTTTTCGCGAATAACTCGCGTAAAAAGCGGCCGATTGCGACGAAACTTTCAGTACCCTCGCATTGATCAATTTTACACCTACCCTGAAAATTTCATGACCCTGACCCAAATGACCTTTGACCTGTGACCTCTTTTCCGAGACCATGTTTGGCCGGAATCGCGATTTCGCGTATGTCGGCTCGCACTAGCCGCGTGTTTGCAAGCTTTTCGTGGTTTCAAACGTTCAAACATGTGATTTGATGTTACTCCCGTGTGTGTCAAGGTCACCTGAAGGTCAGGTCAGGTCATTGACCTTTGGTGACCTCGGGTGACCTCGGTTCATTTTTTCGAGTTTTACATGTTTCTAGGCTAGTTTTTTTAGCTGAATTCGAATTTAGCAACCATTTGAACATTTACGAAGTAGTTTTGGTGACTTCGTAACATGTTACGAAGCTGTCAGAGGCGGTTGACACGTACTACGAATACCCGTCACGACGCCTACTGGTTGACCTGACCTGACCTGACCCGACCTGGTCTAAATGCTTCAAGACATCATCTGTGATCAAAACTAACACGATATTCGTGATCAGCACCCCGAAAAACCCCTTAGCAGCCACACTTTACGACTTTCTAACAGGTCCCGATTTTCCCGACTTTGGGTCATTGACCTGACCTGGAAGGTCAACCAATGACCTAGGACCTTAAAATTGGGTATCATCGGCTTCCTCTCGTCACGGGCAACACGCTCGTTTTTTTCGCGAAGCTCTAGCTTGATCAGGGGCCAAACGGCAAGGGGGGGGGTCCAACCGACCCCCCCCCCCCTACACATTAGAAGCTGGCAAACGCCGCACACATGCGAGGGTTAAGGAAATCTAGGCGGTGGTTCCTCTTGAAGCAGGACAAGTCAAAATCACCGACGATAAAAAACGGGAGTTAAGACGGACTACCCAGCAGTACCTGCTATCCATTCAAGTTTTTTACTCCTCTCCTCTGTACTGTTTACGGAGCGAGCGAAGCGAGCGTAGTCTTTCCTTAGATTAACGGAAATTTCTGAGTATGAGCGGCCGGCCGGCCGGCCGGCCGGCCGTGGTCACGCTTTTGCGAGGCTTATATCTCAGCAACCACTTGACCGATTAACACGCGGTAATTTTTGTAGGGTAGCTTCATTCCTTCTACCAAGTATTGGACTATTCCCGATGCATGTGGGTGACCCCTTATGCACATGCCACGTGCAAAACGAAGAGGTGTCACTTTTGTAATTGTTGCAATATCTCGGTAACTACTTAGCCGATTGCGCTGAAAGTTGGCATGTAGGTAGGCACCCACTAGGCACTGCATATACATGTGCCAGAGTTGGGGTGCTGCTGCACGTGCGCACGTGCAGGGGTCGTTTCCAGATCTCGAGAACGGCTGGACCGATTGCGCTCAAATTTGGTACACGGTTAGGGACCGGTTAGTAGGGTGCCGTGCACAAGTCAGTTGGGACCCATTTTGCACGTGCGCACGTGCAGGGTGCCGCTTCCAGATCTCGAGAACGGCTGGGCCGATTGTGCCCAAATTTGGCACATCGCTAGAGACCAGTTAGTAGGGTGCCGTGCACAAGTCAGTTGGAGGTACCCCCTCGCAATTTCGCACGTGCAAGGCCCACCCTCTCGCTCGCTCCGTTAGTCGCCCCAAAAGGCGTTATACTGGTGTTACGGAGCGAGCGAAGCGAGCGGAGTCTTTCCTTAGATTAACGGAAATTTCTGAGTATGAGCGGCCGGCCGGCCGGCCGGCCGTGGTCACGCTTTTGCGAGGCTTATATCTCAGCAACCACTTGACCGATTTACACGCGGTAATTTTTGTAGGGTAGCTTCATTCCTTCTACCAAGTATTGGACTATTCCCGATGCATGTGGGTGACCCCTTATGCACGTGCCACGTGCAAAACGAAGAGGTGTCACTTTTGTAATTGTTGCAATATCTCGGTAACTACTTGGCCGATTGCGCTGAAAGTTGGCATGTAGGTAGGCACCCACTAGGCACTGCATATACATGTGCCAGAGTTGGGGTGCTGCTGCACGTGCGCACGTGCAGGGGTCGTTTCCAGATCTCGAGAACGGCTGGACCGATTGCGCTCAAATTTGGTACACGGTTAGGGACCGGTTAGTAGGGTGCCGTGCACAAGTCAGTTGGGACCCATTTTGCACGTGCGCACGTGCAGGGTGCCGCTTCCAGATCTCGAGAACGGCTGGGCCGATTGTGCCCAAATTTGGCACATCGCTAGAGACCAGTTAGTAGGGTGCCGTGCACAAGTCAGTTGGAGGTACCCCCTCGCAATTTCGCACGTACAAGGCCCACCCTCTCGCTCGCTCCGTTAGTCGCCCCAAAAGGCGTTATACTGGTAAGTAGAAGTTACCAGAGTGGTAAAGTAAGAAAATAAGCCTTTACAGCTTTTGCCAAATTGTCAGGGAACTCAGATTTGTTTTTCAATAGAAAACACCATTCTAAAGAATAGTGTTTCAACTATTAACCCTCGCCCGTAAACGGTGTTTTGCCACCTTCGCCCATGCAGGGGGGGGGAGGTTGGTGCGACCCCCCCCTGGCGTTTGAAAACGGAGTGTCGTACAGCTTAGCGGAAAAAACCAACGGATTGCTCTCAACGAGATCTCGCGATTGGTGGTATATTTTTTGGTCCTAGGTCAATATTTGACCTACTTATGACCGGTCAAAGGTCAAATTTTCGGAAAAATCTAACTTTTTCAGATTTCCGCGCCGATTGCGGCGAAACGGTAAGAGATATCGACTTGAAACCTTCACTATCGTGATCCTTGATCAATTCTTATCGTTTGGTGTGTATTTCGATGTCATATCTTTAAAAATGATGCGTTGGGAGCATCGGAAGTCTGCAAGGTCATTTGTGCATTGGGTCACGTCAGGCGTGTGACGTCACTGACCTGACCCTGACCCAAAAGGAACTACAAGAAACAACCGACGATGCCTGAAATAGATAGCAAATTCGAATTCAGGGCATCAAAATACCCCAAAAAGGCATACAAGTGCAAGAAGTCATTACAGGTCAACCGAGGTCACTGACCTTACCTTGACCTTTAGTAACCTTCAAAATGTCAACGGACATTGTGCCAATGTCAAATCAGCCAGTTGTGATTCTAAAACAATCCATCAGTGTGTCAGGTCAGTCGGCATTTATACCAATGTGAAGCAATCTCCAATTTAGTGTAAATCTGGCCGGAGGTTGTTCCCTTTATGACGTCATAACTCCGTGACCTGACATGACCTTGACAAAAATAAAATACCAAAAGTTGCGCAAAGGATGCCCCAAAGGGTACTGAAAATTTGAGCAGGCTATCTGAAAAGGTTCGGCGTGTAGCTAAGAAAACCTCAGGGGGGGTTGCACCAACCCCCCCCCCTACATGGGCGAGGGTTAACCCGCGCCGGGCCGGTGCTCTGAGATTCCGCGCCGGGCCGGGGGGGGTGTCTGAACACCCCTCCCCCCTTCTAACTCGGCTCCTGGGCCACGTAGCGACACGCGGTAAGCGGCAATCGAAAGAACGTCCAAAATTAGCACGAAAACATTTGGTCATTTTTTGGATCAGGTCAAAGGTCAGGTCACCAGAGGTCACCAAAGGTAAAATGCTGACTATTTCAACATTTTGGAAACTGCCCACGACTATCTCGGGAACCGATAGAGCTACAGCGCCGCAGAAAAGCGCATTCGATAGCCCTTGTACAGACCTTTCTGAATAATGTTCTCAGATTTGACCTCAGGTCAACGGTTTAGCCTCCAGAGGGCAAAAACTCCAAAAATAGCAGTTTTTACGAAAATCGGCTTTTCGGCAATAACTTTTGATGCAAAAGAGCCATGACATTACTTTTGCCAGCATCGTGTTCCTCTCGTCGAGACGCGTCGAATGAACTGTAAGTTGACCTTGAAAGGTTGAAAATTTGACCTCAGGTCAAGGTCATGACCTGACCGGAAAAGGTCATCTTGCATATCGATCGATCTGCAACGTCGAGCCGAACACATCTAAGGCGTTTTCAGCGCTCTAGCACGACTCTATCAGAAGTTATTAGCGAAAAACTGTTAGATTCTGTTCGTGACCAGAGATGACCTCGGGGACATAATGAGGGGTCACAGTTGCCATTTTCCGGTTCAGTGTGTCAATTTTACCTACATCTCGATGTTTGAGAGTGTCTAGAATAGCGTTCGTGCAAAACAGACGCTTTTCAATTTTCTCCCATTGACTTATAATGGAGAGGCCGCAAAATTGACCTGACCTTAGGTCACTGATATCAACCTTCCGAGATATACATTTTATAGACAATGTTGCTCTTATCAATCGCTGAAAGTTTCAAGGCAATCGATCAATCGGTGTAGCTATGACGAGCATTCTTATTTTTTTCTGAGGTGAGGTCACTTGGTGTGACCTGGTGACCTGACCTAAGGTGACCTGGGTCTCAAATTTTCACAACATGTGCGGAAAAGATGCACGAACAGGTGTGCCAAAAACGTTTGAGATATCTGCGAGATATCACCCACCCTAATGCATGGGAGCAACATCAAATCACATGTTTGAGCGTTTTAAAACCACGAAAAGCTTGCAAACGCGCGGCTAATGCAAGCCGACATACGCCGAATCGCGATTCCGGCCAAACATGGTCTCGGAAAAGAGGCCACAGGTCAAAGGTCATTTGGGTCAGGGTCATAAAATTTTCAGGGTAGGTGTAAAATTGATCAATGCGAGGGTACTGAAAGTTTTATTGCAATCGGCCGCTTTTTACGCGAGTTATTCGCGAAAAACCTTAGGGGTTGCATCAACCCCCCTGTGCCGGCGAGGGTTAAGCTATATCCATGTTTTGCATGAAAGGACTCAGAATAGACTGCGCTATCAAACTGCTATCTCGGATTTTCAAAATTTTAAAAAATATCGAAAATTTTATATAATAAAATTCACAATTTATATTTTATATTTTTCAAAAAGTTTTTGACTTTTCGAAAAAAAACGAAATATTTTGTGATAGAACGCATGCTTATGACGAACCCTGGCAAGTTTAAGCTAAATATCTTCAGAAATGGCCAAGTTATACGCATTATTGCAAAAAATCACAATTATTAATTTTTCAAATCAAATTGTTAGTACGTATTTGATGCATCGTACACCAACATAAATAGCGCCATCGTGTTTCTGAGCTCAAACTGCATCAATTGATTAGACACCTTTTTTGTTGAGAAATTTTAACTTCAAAATTTGACTTTTTTGACCTGAAAGTGACTTGACCTAAGCTAAAACGACTCAAAATGACCTCGAATGACACAGACGACATCAAATTCGAAATCCATGGCCCAAATAGACCATAAAACATGTGTCACGTGACCGACGCATGATATAATATTTCCGTGACCTGTGATGACCTGACCCTGATCTGAAAATCAAAGTACAAGTTTGGTACCCTCAGGGCATCTAGAGCATCTGTTCACGAGTGTGTAAACAAAAAAAATGAGCCTGATCTGACTCGTAAGACGGCGGCCAGAGCCCAAAATGTGAACAAGCCAAAATGCTAATAATTTTTATTTTGACCTGAACTGTGACGTCATCGGTGACCTCGAGGTGAATGAAATTAGGTTTCCCTTAACAGTTTGTCCGGTGCTATCAGACGCCGATTGAATTTTGACGATCGGCCCAGTAGTTTTCGGAGTTAGGAGGGGGGGGCTATGAAGAGCCCCCCCCCCCCCATTAGGGCGTGTTATACGCAGACCTCAGTGGGGCGCGGGTTAACTTAGGGCAATGTTTTAGCGATTTTTTTCATCTGCGGGGAAAATGGATCACCACAGGGTAAGATAGAACACAGTGGTCCGTCTTACCCCGAACCTAAATTGGTCTTTCATTAACCACCTAACTACATTTTTGCAGGCAACTTCTTCAGGGGTGGAAACAACGACCAACCAGGATGAGGACTGCCTGCTAGCCACTGTTATGGCCATGTCTCAGCTGGATGTGAATGTAAGTGGAAAGTGGATAAATGGTGACTGTCGACGAGTCCGACGAAAATGATTCAGATTGTAATATACAAACTGGGTAATGGGAATACATTGCAATTTGTAATTTCAAATATGCTAGGAAATAGATTAATATCCGAAAAGGATAATAATGCTAACGACAAGGTGTAACGGTTTACGGTAATTAAGTTTCCGCTGGTTTTCATTTGAATGCTCGTTTTCAATGTATAAATAACGTCCATGTTTTCCAGGCGCCTTCACCCGGAACAGAGTCAGCCCCGCACGCTCGCTCGTCTGATGCTCTGCAAAGCGAGCTGAACTGTCCCGTCTGCCTAGAACTACTCAACAAAGCCACGACCCTCGGCTGTGGGCACACCTTCTGCGCCGACTGCGTAGGAAGATCACGCAGCGGAAACAACAAGTGTCCAATGTGCCGAAAGCCAATCAACTCTACTGTCCACTGCATCACGCTGGACAATGTTATCAAAGCACTCGCTGCCAGGGATAGACGTCTACCTAACCAACGCATTAGAAAAGATTTATAGGAGACACAGCAGGACATCTTCACCTAGAACTGATGACCGTGGCTCATTCCCTGGTGACATGTGACCATGAGTCATGACCAAACACAGTGTCACCGTAGTAACCAGACCCGAGGGAGAGTGCAGCAAACTAGTCTCGCGGCCTTACACTGCGTCTGGTCGGTTTTTATCAGCCGCTGTTCAGTGTTCACTGCTCAGCAGCCAAGAGAGACAAGATCAGTCTGAGAGGCTGAAGTGACAGCAGCGGCAACAGGGCTTCACCGCCGGTATAAGACAGATATTGACGTCATTTGGTGGGTAACTTTGTCAGCTGATCGATCAAAACCGGTCAGGTGTGCGCTCATTATGGTGATTAGTGGCATTGAGCGGCACACTAGCGAGGGCCACCACTGTCTGTCTGCTCTCCACGGGAAGGTGTGGCAGAGCGATTAGGAGGGGGAGGGAGAGGGGTTGCAGACCGTTCAGAGGGGTGATTCAGGACTAGTCTTTGCTGAGAGACCAAAATCGGTAGCATTTCGGCTTTACTTTATGACGTTTAAACGGTGTAGAAGAATCAGAATAGTTAACGTTTAACCACAAGTAGTTGAGGTTAAGTTAACCGTTAACTAAACGAATCAACAAAAATGCTTCAATCCATATGGGTAGAAGCTATTTGTGTGATATAAAATGTATTCGGTATATTTTTTCCTGTCTGAGGTAACTGAACGTCGCCACCATATTTTCAGCAGTTCATTTTTTCCATTGCTGCTCAAATCTTGTAAAGACGGACAACCAGGCTGCGTTTCATTCCAGCGCCACTCCATTCCTAATCTGTTAGCTATACACAGCTTCTGAAGATACCGACTCAAAGACTCCCGCGTATCCAAACCTGGTAAACTAATCGGGAGCCACCCTCATCAGCGCAGTAGCCAATCAGGCCCAATTAGACCAACTGCCTAATCATCAGGCATCTGACGCTGCCTGCCCGGCACGACCCGGCGGCATTGCGTATAACGGAAACCCGCGGCCCACAGCAGAGGTCCAGACCTGCAGTGGGCTGGTCTGGTCCCGACTATAGCCTAGTCTCTGGTCCAGACCAGTGGTCTGGTCTGGTCGTAGAGCGGCTGGGGCGTCGTCAGTGTCACTGTCGACAGGGGATCTCTCTCTCTCTCTCTCTCTCTCTCTCTCTCTCTCTCTCTCTCTCTCTCTCTCTCTCTCTCTCTCTCTCTCTCTCTCTCTCTCTCTCTCTCTCTCTCTCTCTCTCTCTCTCTCTCTCTCCCTCTCTCTCTCTCCCTCAGGGGGAACTGACATCGAGGCTCTCATTCATCATCAGGGGACTGATGGACATGACAAGTTTGACATGGAACCACGCCACTGAGCGCGACAGTGATAACGTAATTGAAAGGGTGATGTCAAACAGCGCCTAACACGCCGGACGGGTTGGAGACGAAATATGACACCCGATACGAGGCTCAGGCGCGAAGAAGCTGAATTTATTAATGTCGTTATCTTCGCTCCGAGGGTTTGTGATTGAATTACGGGGTAAGCCGTTAGCAGGGCGCCACACTGTGGACACATGACACGCATAATCTAACAAATGAGGTAACTAGGAACATAAAGACTGTCGCTATTTTAGCTTCAAATAAGCTAAGAGTTGATCTCGCCAAAAATCTGGATTTTTTTCTTTTTTCATTCTTTGACTTTCACGTTTTTGTATGTCATATGATGAAAATAAAACATAAACAAAACGCCATCAGTCTGTAAATTTTTTTTACATGATGTCCATCTCAATGTCCATCATTGTCCATCACATGTCCATCACCCCCCCATCTTTTGTCCCCGCCACAAATATAGAATACATGTGTTTGTCACTGCAGCCATTCCATCCCCGCCATTTACCTACATATCTGTTGCTCAGCCTCTTCCAGCCGTTTCTGACACGCCTGTGTGCTGTGTAAGTACTAGTAGTAGTAGTATGTATGCATTAAGTTATGCTGTGGGTAGGCACTGTGCAGTGTGCAGCCCCCCCCCCCCCCACACGACTCGTCTGGCGCTCACAGCCGCCGTGCACGGCCGCCGTGCACAGCCGCCGTGCACGGCGCTCGGTACCCACTGGGGGGGGAGAGGAGGGGGGCGGCCACGCGCCGCCACCACCACTAATGACCGGGGAGCGGAGCCGTCACCGGCGCTGACGGATCGGCCCCGCTGCCGGCCAAAGGAGAGGGAAGGGAGGGAGGTAGGCCAGGTCAGGTAGGGTGGTGGCGGGTGGTACAGAGAGGTGGACTGGCTCAAGGGTGTTAGAGGACGTAACGTGCGTTATGATGTGGATGGTTATTTTTTATAGCGCCTAATTTGAAGGCACAGCATGCGGCTGCACCAGTGGCGCGGCGGAACAACTTCAATTACGGGGGGGGGGGGGCACTGCTGACTTTTGGTTCTTTCCATTCTTTCCATGCAACACCAATAGGGCTAATGTTAAAATGCCCAAATAAAGGGGGCACGGTGCCCCAGTGTTTGGGTCAGGTCACAGGTCACAGGTCACATGTTTGAGCTATACATACGATCATTGCAATGCACCCGTATGTAGAGTTGATGGACGTCCTCACACGTGCAACATGTGAGGAGTGAGGGTGTGCCTCTGAGATCTTTCGCCACGTGCGCCATACTCTGTTCCCTCCGCCTTTCAGGCTACCTGCACTGCAATGAGACCTTACGCCAACTTTCTAAAAATCCCCAATCTTCGATGCATGATCTCATTGGATCTTGGCTTTCGATTGTGAATAGTAAGCCACACATGGACCAAACAACACAACGTTCCACATTTGCCATTTCAATTGCGGGACTGAATGAATAACGTCATCATCTAGACTCGCACAATGAACTGTTTTATACCTACTTCTTTCTGAACAACTTCTGTCTATTGGAAGTCTGAACAGAGAACGGAGCATGTGCAATAAACTAGGCTCTGCGCAGCAGCCAGCGAAGACCATGCAGAGCTGCTTGCACGAAGAATCAAGCCGATAATCCCGCAGACTTGAGTCCATTTGGCATTCTTTATTCAGCTGTCAGAACACCAAATGAGATCAAATCCCTGCAGTCTTCACTGCTCGGCCGACTGGACGGCGGTGAAGCGCGCTCTTCCGCCTCCATTGACCATTCGCTCGCTCGCGAGCCCTCATTCGACAGGTCTCCCTCACCGTCAACTGAAGCGGAGTGTAGTGTCTTCTCTGCGGGCTCGGCCTCTCCTATTTTCTCTCAGGTGGACAGCGACACAGGACAGACCGTCTGGCAGATGGCCTGTCAGGACGTGGGCCACGCCCGACCGAGCATGATTGTCATCAGAGATGGTGGACTGAAATAGTCCACCGCTTTCTGCCGTTGTCTGTGACCACATAGGACGGAGGCGGCCCGTCGAAAGGAGGATACAACAGTGTAAATACAGCAACACATTAGTAAGAAATGAAATATCATTCAGAATTAGACATGGTTTAACAAAAAGGAGAAATGATACATCAGTGTTCTACTGTCCGCCCGCCTACATAGTGCTCCGTTTGGCTGTTTGAACTAGATTTTCTACAAGAATGTGGGATACATTTCTCCGTGGAGCTATGTGACGCCAAGACGGATGAGTCCGCTCGTATCAGTGGCTCGTATACAGTCGCGGGGCTCATATCTGATTTAGTGAGTCACGAGTCGTATACTTTAGAACGAAGAGCGATCTATGAGACACGCAGAGAGCGCCGTCGGCATACCCGCCCGACCGGAAGCGGTATCAAGATATTGTAAACGATGCTCCAGTGACTGAAATCTAAGGAAAGAACCTACCGACTATTGGATAAATATTTCTGAAGAAACGGATGTGTAGATTGATGTTTCAGAGATTCTAGACGGTATTTGAAATGATATTCTAAACAAAATGTTATTTATGTAGCTGGGTACCTTCAGGATTTGAAATGTCATTGTGAATGTAGAGAAGCAATCGTGAGTGACATTAGCATAGGTCTCATGGAAATGCGAGTTTAGATCGAGCAAGCCATGCCCATAAAGCCAAACCCAAGCCAGCTGCAATGTAATTCGTTTGAAACAAGCCCTGAATACGTGTCAAGGATACGACATTTACCTACCATGAGGAGCCTTCCCAATCCTCCTCGGATATGGACCGTAGACAGGTGCTGTTTAACCTCTTCCCCCGACCCCCTCCGACCTCACAACCCAACATCAACACTCCCAACACCACAGACGCGTGACCACCCCGTCAGAAAATGCCCACCTCTCCTAGCGGGTCCGCCCATGCGACCCCGACCCGGGGCGGTCAGCTGATCCACGCGTCGTTTTTGCGCTCCGAACGCCACATTTGTCATCGATGGAGGTCCTCGGAAAATGATCGATCGGCGTGCCGAAAAACGGCGCGAGGAGAGCGATAAAAACCGTGAGCTCACGGTGAGTAGGCTTTGTTTGGCTGTGGTTCAAAGGAGGCTTGTGAAAAGTAGGTATGAGACCGTGGCATTTGGGGGAGGGGGAGGGGGAAGGACAGGGCCTGGACCACGGCCAGAAGGAATGGTAAGTGACTTAACTAGATAAGTGCTAACAAGAATTGGTTGATTTGATTAGAAAGCTGCTGCTGCCCAATGATGCAATTAGATGAAGTGGGAAATTGAGAGGGGACGGACTTATTTTCCGTTGTTTATTCCTAAACGACGATCTAACACAATATCAGAAAAATTCGCATGTGAGGCAGAAAGGATCATGGTAATTGCTAAAATAAAATTTGTACCATTACTTCATGCCAGATGTGTATACCTGCTGCGGTTCCTAACATGTGAAAGCGCGTTTGCGTGACTACCTTTGACACAAGTGTGAAGGATGATTGACAGATCACGTCAAATCAGTCACATTAAATTCGAGGGTCTCTCGTTAGTCGAGTGACGTATAGGATGAGAGTGGATTATTAGTAGCCAGCCGTGCGTATCCCGCCTGGCTAAAGTCGCTTTTCACATACGCTAACCAGTATCCATGGCAGGTGATACGTCCCCATGGAGGGAAAGGGAACCAAAGGGGGCTTTGTTCTCGATGCAGCAGGGCTGAAAGGAGATAGGGGAAGGGGGCTGGAGCTATTAACGTGAACGCTACCACGTAATGCACAGAAACCGTGCTTAACCCCCGAACACGCGGACAATCCCGCTCAACCCAACGCCAAAGCCACTAAAACTCCGCTGGGATTAGCCAGATTAGAGGCCACGGCCATGAGGGTATAGGGACTCTCTGTGTTTTACTTTTCCCACAGGAGCGGATCGAAACACTGTCCGTTTCATCCGCCCCTGGTTTGTCAGAGAGGGTCTGATCTGATGGCAGCCTTCAGAGCTGAATGTATATAATAACGATCCCCGACCCCCTCTGAAAACGGTCCTATTTACGGCACGTCTAGTCAAACAAAAGACCTCTGAAAAAAATCCCAGCCGAGCTGGAGTTCCTCATTTCAACAAAAAGCTGACTGGGTATGACGCGGCGTCTCGTCCCTCCATCCCAGCTGCCCCGGCTGCCCCGTGTCATAGTAACGGCTCCCCGGCACAAGGAAGCTCTATTCTCAGATTGGGAGAGTTTCCCTTTTCCTCACAAACCGTCCTTCTTCGCTACTACGCACGCGAGGCGATAAAAATGAATGTTTGCCTCATAAATTGACGCGGAACTAAACGATCCAGACGAAGACATATCGTCTCCATTTCGCTAATTGACCTGGGGCGAGCCAGATATTGACAATCTCACTCATCGGACGCGAACTTAAAGTGCCACCAAGCGCCTAGGTGACATCGCCGTCGGCGGTAGACACTAGGTACGACGCGACGGCGACGATAACGCTGCGCCGCGACTGCGCCGCCTTCGCCGCCGCCGGGGGCAGGTCGTGGAATAAATACCGACGCACTAAGAGGAGAATGTACCGTGAAACGTCAGACGCGTCGCGATTAACGGACCGGCAGATAGACGGTAATGAGAGTCCGACTTCTGCAGCCCGGGGCAATCATGGCGCAGGCGACAAACGCGGCGCAGCGCGGCGTATGTGACGCACTGTCGCGACGTGGCAGCTCCAGCGTAGCGCCGCGCATAATTAGACCGTTTGCCGGCGTGGACGAACAAGTTCATTGACAGGAAGAGACCTCGGCGATATTCAGGGACAGGGACCGGGTCTTGACGAGTCGCAGTGAAATGTGCTCCCTCGCTGCGCCGGTCCTGTCGGCGGGGAGGGACTGTCGCGGGGCCCATCAGCGGCACAATGCCCGCACGGGACAGCTCCGGTAGCTCTGTCACGCAGTCAGACTGAGCCGTCATCCCTCCCCATAGGACAGGCATAGAACGGGAGAGCGGAGCGGCGTCCCCTCGAAAACCGGCACAGACGGCAGCAGCGTCCGCCACCGCCGACCACACTTCATTTATCAAATTGGGCTAGTGCGAGTGCGCCGCACCGAATCGCAACAATAACGGCACGATCATTTATAACGAGAGGCGCGAGTGACACGTGCGTAGCGCAGATCCATTACACCGTCCACAGGCCCTTTTTGCATGGAGAACTGCTCTGCTTAGGCGTGTAAACAGGGGGCAGAACGGCGCTAAGCGCCGACGAGAAGGGCTCGCAGTGGGAGTCGCGTGCTGCCCGGCCCGACTGCCCCGATGGATGGATTACCATCACAAAGGGGCAAGATGGCCCGCTGATCCGGGGCGCCGCTGCGTTCTGGCCTGGGGGACGCCCGGGCGCCGCTG